CGGGGGAGTTCGCCAGAACGTTGTCTGGAGAATCGGCCTCCTCGTTTTCATTGCCCAGTGGCTCCGGATGGTCAGGGAATGCTGCAATTGTCCCGAAAGTGGTCTGCGGATTGCGATTTGCAGCGTCAGTGTTCATTGCATATGTTTGGCGTAGCTTGAAACACATCTCACACCACTTAGCTCACTCAGCATAGTTCAAACCATATAGCCCAAACCAGGTAGCTTACACCACACTGCTTACATTACAGAGCTTGCACAACATATGTTACGTCACATCGCACACACACACACAGCAAAACTTAGACACCATAGCGTAGCTCATACAACATATCCACACACAGCCAAACTTAGGCAACACAACGCAGCTTACACAACATGTTGCCCAACCCACATTGCAATGATGTATCGTTTGGGGTCAACGCTGGCTAACATGTATGCACACGCGTACATACAACCTAATTATCCGTATTATTGATACAAAGCTCACGTAGATGATCTGTAATCATTATACAGTGGAGGTCCGATCACAAGAAACCTTCCACAAGAAACCCAACCCTCAGACCCCAGGAAGTCAACCGATTGGTGATGTCGGAACGTCACGCTCCCCATCGCAAAACCATCAACACCCAAGAAACCCAGGGCACCCTGGAGGCAAGCAGGGCGTTTTTCTTGGCATGGGCCTCCACTGCATGTGAGTATGCTTCAGGGTCGGGACCCCGGACGGGGCGCAAACGGACTCGGGCCAGCGAGCTTTGGCCCCCCCCCCCCCCCTGGCCCCTTCAACGCCCCGTGCAGGGCCCCTCCGCGGCAGCCTCTGGGCTTCCTGGACCTTCGCCTGCTGGCCTGCGCGAGCGGGCCCGCAAGAAGTGGCCAGGAGGAGGAGGACCAGAGAGCCCTGCGAGAGCCCCAAACGCAGGGCTCACTTCGATTCCTCCGATTCGATTCGATGCGGTTTCGATTGCCCCCGATCCCGACTGGATTCGGCTTCGGATTCCGATGTGGATTCCGACGCCCCAATGGGCGCCTACCGGCCTGCCGATCTCTGCCGATCCGACTGCTCCCGACTGGGCTGCCGACTTCCGCCGTTCCGATTCACGTCGATCGCCGATCCGTTGTCTCGATTCGATTCCGGGCTCTACTGCACTCGGCCCCAGACACCCCGCACAGACGCCTGAAGAAGCCCCGGAGGAGGGGGAGGAGGAGGAAGAGTAGGAGGAGAAGGAGAAGGAGGAGGAAGAGGAAGAGGAGGAGGAGAAAGAGGAGGAGGAAGAGGAGGAGGCTGAGGAAGAAGAAGAAGAAGAAGGAGGAGGAGGAGGAGGAAGAGGAGGAGGCTGAGGAAGAATAATAATAATGATAATAAACTTAGGATGATGAGGAGGAAGAGGAGGAGGAGGAGGAGGAGGAGGAGGAGGGGGAGGGGGGGGAGGAGGAGACGCAGAAATCAGTGAGCTCGTTATTCCCCACATCCCAAGATAGGGGTTATTGTTATTACTTGGACGCCTCCTACTCCCTCTTCTTCTCCTCTCCTCCTCTCGGACTCACTCATACTCAGACTTACTCACACCCAGACTTAATCATACCCAGACTTACTCATACACAGACTTACTCATACTCAGACATACTCATGCTCAGACCTACTCAGACTGAGACTTACTCATACCCAGACGTACACATACACAGACTTACTCATACACAGACTTACTCATACCCAGACTTGCTCATATCCAGACGTGCTCATACACAGACTTACTCATACACAGACTTACTCATACTCAGACCTTCTCATAGTCAGACTTACTCATACGCAGACTTATTCAACACACGGAATACTTGGAGTATGTCTCAGGCGTGGCGCTGGTTTCAGCACCCCAAAGGGGAGCCGCCAGGGGTGTTTTCACGGGCCCGTTCGCGGCCAGTTTGTGGGGATGTCTCAGGCGGTTTGGTTGTTTTGGTGGGCAGACGCGTTTGCGTTTAGAGCAGTTTGTGAGGATGTCTCAGGCGGGGCGCTGGTTTCAGCACCCCTAAGGGGAGCCGCCAGGGATGTTTTCACGAGCCCGTTCGCGGCCAGTTTGTGGGGATGTCGCAGGCGGTTTGGCTGTTTTGGTGGGCAGACTCGTCTGCGTTTAGAGCAGCTTGTGAGGATGTCTCAGGCGGGGCGCTGGTTTCAGCACCCCAAAGGGGAGCCGCCAGGGGTGTTTTCACGGGCCCGTTCGCGGCCAGTTTGTGGGGATGTCTCATTCGGTTTGCTCGTTTTCATGCCCAGCATCATTGGCTTCCGAGGCAGATTTTGAGGATGTCTCAGGCGGGGCGCTGGTTTCTGCACCCCAAAGGGGAGCCGCCAGGGGTGTTTTCATGGGCCCGTTCGCGGCCAGTTTGTGGGGATGTCTCAGGCGGTTTGCTCGTTTTCATACCCAACTTCCTTGGCTTTCAGAGCAGCTTGTGAGGATGTCTCAGGCGGGGCGCTGGTTTCAGCACCCCTAAGGGGAGCCGCCAGGAGTGTTTTCACGGGCCCGTTCGCGGCCAGTTTGTGGGGATGTCTCAGGCGGTTTGTTTGTTTTCATGCCCAACATCCTTGGCTTTCAGATCAGTTTGTGAGGATGTCTCAGGCGGGGCGCTGGTTTCAGCACCCCTAAGAGGCGCCGCCAGGGGTGTTTTCACGGGCCCCTTCGCGGCCAGTTTGTGAGGATGTCTCAGGCGGTTTGTTTGTTTTCATGCCCAACATCCTTGGCTTTCAGATCAGTTTGTGAGGATGTCTCAGGCGGGGCGCTGGTTTCAGCACCCCTAAGAGGCGCCGCCAGGGGTGTTTTCACGGGCCCCTTCGCGGCCAGTTTGTGAGGATGTCTCAGGCGGTTTGTTCGTTTTCATGCCCAGCATCCTTGGCTTTCGAGGCAGATTTTGAGGATGTCTCAGGCGGGGCGCTGGTTTCAGCACCCCTAAAAGGAGCTGCCAGGGGGTAGGACACGGGCCCGTTCGCGGCCAGTTTGAGGAGTGGGAATGAATGGGAGGCCCATGTTCAATCATACTCACAGCTCACTCTGACTCATACCCACTCGCTCGCATTCGGGTTCGCTCGTCTTCGTCGTCCCTGTCGCCCACGTGGACGCGCTATTATAGTCAAGCGCTCACGAACAGACGCTCACTACAGTCGGGGCGCTGAGGAAGGAACCCTTTTCGTTGGGGAGGGGCTCGGTGTTCCTTAGTTGTCTTGCAGTTCGCCTCTGGTTTTGCTTGGGGCTTCGATGGGAAATCAGAGTTTATCGCATGGGAAAAAGGGGCCTCGTTCCTTATTTAGGGTTCCTTAGGCCAACGCCCCGACCGTAAAACATGAGATGCACATATGGGGAGCTCCACGCAGTGAGTCATTTGTACCTGTCTGTGTGCTGCCGGGGCTCTCAGCGCGTCGCCCCGCCGGCCGCCGGAGCCCGCCCACGAGACCCCACGCGTCGCCCAGCAGCGACCCCCAAAGACGGCGTCGGGCAAGCCACGAGGGCCCCAAGACCGCTCCTCCTCCTCCTCCTCCTCCTCCTCGTCATCATCATCATCATCATCATCCTCCTTTTATTATTTGTTCTTCTTCTTATTATTATTCTTTCTCAGCCTCCTCCTCGAACACCTCCTCCTCCTCCTCCTCCTCCTCCTCCTCCTCCTCCTCTACTCCTCCTTTTATTATTTGTTCTTCTTATTATTCTTCTTCTTATTCTTTCTCAGCCTCCTCCTCGAACACCTCCTCCTCCTCCTCCTCCTCCTCCTCCTTCTCCTCCTCCTCCTCCTCCTCCTCCTCTACTCCTCCTCCTCCTCCTCCTCCTCCTCCTCCTCCTCCTCCTGCTGCTCATGGCATGAATAGACGAAGTCTGTTGCCACCGAGACTGCCCACCCTTCCCTGGCTGCGGGCCCAGAGGTGGGCGGGGGGCGAAACGAAAGAGAAGTCAGCAGTGTGAGAGCGCCAGACGGCACGCCTCCCTTCCTTAAGACGGCACGCCTTGCGCCGCTGCCGCCGCCCCGCCCAATGGCGGCGCGCGGCGGTCGGCCCCCGGGCCGCGGCGGCCAGTGGCAGGCGCGGGCATCCCGCCCCGTGCGAATACGACCCGATCCGACTCCAAATCCTCCATCCCCCGTGCCCCCTGCTAGGACCCCTGTGCGCGGTGGTTCGGCGGTGCTGAGAAACCTGCGCACGCCACTGCAGAAGCTGGTGTCGAGCGATGCCAGGGCGCATCTCGCGGGGGCTCCGCGCAGAGGCGCGGCTGTCTTCGCCTGAAGCGGGCGGGGCCCCGTCGGCAGTGCAGGGATCGGTTGTCTCCGCTCTGTCGCGCAGCAAAACCTGTGAGTCGGCACGCGACCTCACGCTGGACGGAAGCTGGTGCGTGCGCGGGCGGGTCCAGCAAGCAGACTGCAACACGGGAGAAGCTGGTCAGGCGGTGCCAGCGTTCCCGGGGCCGCTGGTCGCCCCCCGCGGTGTTGGGAGCTCGCGGTGCAGACGACCGTTATCACGGTAGGAAGAAGGAGGGCGGAGGGAGAGGCGTTGAGCGGCGTGGAGCTCTGTTCGCGGAAGGTAGAAGCAGACTGCGCCAGCCAGCGCGTCTGGGTTTCGGCGGTTCACCCCGGTAACCTCCGAGCAAATCCCTCGACAGTGCTTGCAAACAAAGGCGTAGACACACTGTTGCGGATCCGTCCCCCAGTGCTTTTCGGTTACTTTTTCGGGTTCAGCACCGCAACCCACAGTTGCCAAGAGACAGTGGCGCTGCACAAGATAACAGTTCGTGCCAGCGAGGAGGGTCTCCAGGAGCAGGACAAGGGGAGGAGATGAGATGAGCCAGGACAGGGAAGGAACGTGAAGGAGGTGGGGGGTGCATCAGTGCCTCAGGGGTAGCCCAGAAACCGCACCTTTTTCTCAAAGGAAACGTGCCGCCTCGGGTGGGCCTCCGAGGGCGCTGCGCCCGCCAGCGTTCCCGAATGCAGGGCCTCTGGCTCGGCCTCGCTGTCGCTCTTGGTCTCGCTGGAAGTCACGGAGTCACGGACCGCTCCTCGAGGGCGTCGGCGCAGACTTGCCATGGCCTCCGGATGCTGAGCGGGATGTCGAGGGCGCCCCAGGCTTCGAGCTGGTCGGCGGTGTTGCGGGACAGCAGGGGCGCCCACTTCTTGTCCATGGCGAGTTCTCGACGTGGCTGACGCGGTACCAAGGCTGCCTTGTCTTCGGGAGGTAGCCAGTCCCAGGCGGCGCGAAGGGCCTCTGGGGCGGCGCCATCACGCCTCGCCGCGTCGGCCTCGTAGGCGGCGAAGGCGGAGAGCTCGGTGATGGAAACTTCGACGTATGCGGCCTGCTCCTCTATCTCGAGGCTGACCATGGCACCGCGACCGTCCAAGGCTGCGCCGGAAGGCGCGGCAGCCCCCGCGGCAGCCTTTGGAGCCCCCGCTGCACTAGAGGCAGGCCTGCCGTCCAGGCTCCGTGCCTCCGCCCAGTCCTCCGAGGCGTCGCGGCCCGCTTCGGCCGCCTGGCTCTGTCTGCCAACTGCCTGGCCCACATCAACCTCGTCTGCCGAGTCGGCCGTGTGAGACCTCGCCCGTGCCTCAGCCAGCGCCTCTGCCGCCGCAGATCGCAGCGCGTCGGTGGGTGGGCAGGCCACGCCAGGCGCTGGTTGCCTAGGCGGTTGGAGCGTCTCGGTCTGGCTGCTCTGCGGCTGCTCCTTGTCGAAGCCGTCTCGCGGGTTGGCCCGTGTGGGGTGGGCCCTCCCCGCCTCCTGCGCGGTGTTCTGGAGATGGAAGGTGTCGTTGGAGTCGCTGGTCAGGTCGGCCCCTTTTGGGGGGCCAAATCCCGCCGCCTCCTCGGCGCGCTGATGCCCGAGGGCGTCGTCGGAGCCGCCGGGCAGGTCCGCCGCCTCTGTGTTCCTGTCGTGGCCGTCGTAGTTGGCGGCGATCCGCGGTCGCGCCAGCAAGGCTGCCAGGCTCGGCAGCCAGGGGCGCCTCGCCTCCGTGCGTCCCTGGCAGTCGAAGGTGTCGTTGGAGCCGTCCTTCTGGTCGGCCCGTTTGGGGGGGGGGCCGGCCCCGCCGCCTCCCCGGCGCCCTGGCGGCTGTAGGTGTCGCTGGCGCCGTGGGGCGGGTCGCTGCTGGCTGGGTCGCAGCCGGTGGCCCCTTCGATGTCCATGGGCTTGCTGACCTGGTGGCTGGAGCGGTCGCCAGCCATGTCTTTGGCCCGACTCCCTGGTGGTCCCGGAAGTGTGTGTACGACTCCTCGTCTGGCGGCGGCGCGGAGCCTCCAGTGGTCGCCGCGCCGAGGGGGGGCTCTCAGGTTGCCGTGCGAGCTCCCCCCCAGCAGCGCGGTTGTCGCAGGGACCCGCACGGGCGCCTGCGACACGGGAGGCCGAGGTCGCTCTGCCACCCCGCCCGTTGCTTGGCCCCGACGTTGGGCCGCCGCCACAACATCCCCTCTCGGGCTGCAGCCGCCGCGGCGCCCGCGACGCTGCCTGTAGCCGTGCCATTGGAATCGGGCCCGTGGCGGAGGCGCCGGTGCTCGTGATGACAGGCGGGAGGAGCAGCAGGCTTGGCTCGAAGGCAGGCGTTTCTTCCCGAAGAGCTGCCGCAGCCGTGGCTGGTGGCGCCTGTGGCGGTTCGGTGTCTGACTTGTCGACTGGGATGCCGGGATGACGATGTGCTTGGGGGCTGTGTTGGCGTTGCTTGCGGTGGCAGCCGCGACCATGAGGCGGTTCACGTCGCCAGAACGCGGCGGGTGTCCCTTCCCAGCAGCATGCGCCAGCCGCCTCGCAGCGCTGCGAGGCGGTCTCGGCCGTCGCCAGCGGGTGAGAATCTCGTTCATGCTGACGGTCAGGCCGCCGCCCACGGAGCATGGCAGGAGAGGTGAGAACAAATAAGATGGCGAGATGTAACATTGGGAAGTATTGAAAGTAGGGGCAATGGAGTAAACATGAGAAAACAGGTGTAACATGCTACACTATAAGAAAAGATAGAAGGAAAGATGTACGAATAGATGTTACATCGGGGTATACATGTGTATATAAATATATATATATATATATATAGAGCCCCCTCGATGGCGAAATGCCTGACTCGCCCGTTCAAGAATGGAAGCGAGCTTCTGGCGGAACATGCATGGGATCTTCTTCTTTGCTGTCTTCGACGGCTTCAACTTCTACTTCTGAGCTGGCTTCCACCGCCTGCTAAGATGAACAGACCTATTGTGTACGAGTGATAAATGTAAACAAGTGTGGGAATAGAAAGATGTGCCGAGAAATCGCGGGTTCGGCAATCGCGCTGGGCGCGGCCGCGGCGCCGACCTGTTCGGCAGGGGGGGGGGGGGGGACGGCCCGGGCCCCAGCGCCTCCTCTCCTCCTCCACCCTCCTCCTCCTCCTCCTCTCCTCCTCCTCCTGCTCCTCCTCCTCCTCCTCCTCCTCCTCCTCCTCCCCCTCCTCCCCTCCTCCTCCTCCTCCTCCTCCTTCTCCTCCTCCTCCTCCTCCTCCTCCTCCTCCTCCTCCCTCCCCCTCCTCTCCTCCTCCCCTCCTCCTCCTCCTCCTCCTCCTCCTCCTCCTCCTCCTCCTCCTCCTCCTCCTCCTCCTCCTCCTCCTCCTCCTCCTCCTCCTCCTCCCCCTCCTCCCCAAAGAGCGGCACTGACGGCCCAAGATGGCCCGAAGCCACCCCCCGAAACAAAGTTCGCACCTGCTGCTATCAAAAGGCTTGGCGGTTCAGTTCTCGTGAGACGTTTGCAGCGAGTGCTCAAGTGCATTTGTTTAGACCATGCCCCGTGATTTGTCTGCCGGCTTCGTCAGGCAAACTCGAGTCTCCAAGACTAGAGTCTTAGGTCTTCCCGAGGCCACTGTGGCCGGGAGGCTGCCTGATTGCAGGGGAGGACCTCCAGAAACATCCAGGATTACAAAAGAAATTGACTGCACTGGGTGCTTGTGCCCCGTTGAAACCGTGGAATTCCCCTTGTCTCCCACTTCCCACGCCCCCTCATTTCCCTCCTCTGATCCTCCTTCTCCCGCTGATCCTCCTCCTCCTGCTCCTCCTCACTCTCCTCACTCTCCTCCTCCTCCTCCTCCTCCTTCTCCTCCTCCTCCGCCTCCTCCTCCTCCTCCTCCTCCTCCTCCTCCTCCTCCTCCTCCCCGGCCTTCCACCCCCCCTCTCCTCGCCCTCCCCTGCCCCCTCCTCCTCGCCCTCCTCAGCTCCCTTCTCCTCCCCCTCCTCCTCCCCCGCGCCCCTCCTCCCCCCTTCGTCCTCCCCTGCAGTCAAGACGCTGAAATAAGGAACTGTTTGGGATCGGAAGGGGCTCGATGTTCCCCAGGTTCCTCAATTGCTGTCCCTCTCGCCCTCCTCGGGCACGGGGGCGCTTTGGGGGCCAAAGAGGGGCTTCGTTCCTTCTTTAGCGTTCCTTCTTTCAGGGGCCCGGCTGTACCCCCCGAACCCTGGATTAGAAGTGTCTGTAACCCGTCCTGGGTAGTGAGCCCGCGCGGGAGACGCCGCCCGGGGGACGCCGCCCAGGCCTCGAGCTGTACGAGCCCTTCGCGCACCTGCTCACAGAGGAGAGCCGGTCGGAGCAGCAGGAGGAGGGAGTATGAAGCTTGGGGTAAATGAGGCGAAGGAGGAAGAGGTTCAGTGTAAACCCAAGATTTGTGTCAACCATGTTGCAGTAAGTCCTCCCTCCAAGTTCCATGTCTACAAGTCCCTACAATAATCTATCCCTGCAGGCTGCAGGATATGTCCCCTTGGAAGACAGCCGTCTGAGAATCCCCAGTCGCACTGAAACACCATTCCCGGGACTTCAACGCCGCAAATCAAGGCAATTGTTGCGTCCTGCCGATCCTGAATCTTGCCAGACCATCATTCCTAAGATTTCAACACCGCGAATCAACGTGACTGTTGCTCCTTGACAATCCTAAACCGCGCAGAGATACAATTCTGGAGACGTCAACTATCGAAGACGCCTACGGCGAATCACCGCCGCCCCCTGCCTTTGTGGAAGCGCCTATGTGGCCGAACGTTGAGGCCAGACCTGCCAAGCCATCGGACCATGTGTTCCCCGAATCGGTTTGGAAAGCCTTCGGGGAACACGTGGGCGTCTTGATGGTCATCGTCGCCGTCTTGGAGGCCTCTTGGGCGATCTTTCGGCGATCTTTGGGGGCTCTTGGGCCGTCTCGGGCCGTCGGAAGGCCGAAAAAAGGGAAATGCCCAAATCCATCAAAAACCTTGGGAAAATCAGTGATTTTGGCATCTTTTGGCCTTCCTGGAGGCCCTCTTGGGGGCCTCTTGGGCCCTTTTGGGCCAGCTTCGAGCCAACTTCGGCCATCTTGGTGGGTTCCTGGCACGTCTGACGCCGTCGGGAGCCGTTTTGGGGGCCTTTCTGGGCCAACGGGGGACCCTCTTGGGGCGCTCCAGGGCCGTCTTGGAGGCCATCTTGGGCGTCTTGGAGGCCATCTTGGGCGTGTTGGAGGCCTCTTGGGCCGTCTTGGGGCCCTCTAGGGGCCATCTTGGAGGCCACTTGGGCCATCAGGGGGCTCTCTTGGGGGCCTCTTGGGCGATCTTGGGGGCTTCTTGGGCCGTCTTGAGCCGTCGGAGAGCCGAAAAGGCGCAAATGCCAAAATCCTTCAAAAACCAATGGGAAAATCAATGATTTTGGCCTCTTCGGACTCTCCTGGAGGACCTCTTGGAGGCCTCTTGGGCCGTCTGGGAGGCCTCTGGGGGGCCTCTTGGGCCGTCTTGGGCCGTCTTGGACTCTCTTGGGCCGTTTTGGAGGCCGTCTTGGACCATCTCGGGCGGACTTGGAGGCCATCTTGGGCCATCTTCGCGATTTTTTGAGGATGTCCCGAGCGAAACGGCCGTTTTTGGAGGATTTTTTCCGGTCGTTGAGCACGTTTGGGGATTTTCCGGGTGGCCGGCGGGTTCTGCCGGAGCCCACTGGGGAGTTCTTTTGGAAAAAGAACCAAAACCAAAACCAGCTCATCCAGCACGCCGTGCACCCCTGCAAGCAGGGGGCGGCGGATCTAGTGGCCTTCGGCCCATCTCGCCACCGTGCCTGGGTTGTAGGTCAGAGTTCTCAGGGATGTTTCTTCGGGGCGCTCTCGGGGGCCTTTAGGGAGCAGTTTTGGGGGGTCCCTCGTGGCACCCCTGGGAGCTTCTTGGGGCCTCTTGGATGTCTCTTGGGGCCTCTTGGGGGCCTCCAGGGGGCCTCTTGGGGCCTCATGGGGGGCCCTCGGGGCAGAGGGCTCGAAATGTCCGCTCGGGTTCCCCATCTGGGCCCCCTCTTGGAGCCGTCTTGGGGCCCTCTTGGGCTGTTTTGGGGTCCTCTTGGGGGTCTCTGGGGCCGTCTTGGGGCGATCTTTGGGGCCTCGCGGGTCGCCTTGGAGCGTCGCAAAGCCGAAAAAGCAAGAATGCCAAACATTCGCAAAAAACCATGGAGAATCATTGATTTGGGTCTCTTGGGGCCCTCTTGGGACGCCTCTTGGAACAGGGGGTCAGATCCAAGAAGTCTGCGCGGATCGTCAAAAGCATATGTTTATGCCGTGGTTGCTGTTCTTCTAGAGATGGGGGTGGTTCAAAGGAGGCGGAGGAGAAGCAACAGGAGGGGGAGGATGAGGAGGAGGAACCCAAACAGCAGGAGAGGGCAGTGAGTGTTTGTGTGACCAACAGGCAGCATGATGCCCGCAAGCTGTGGTGGCTGAAGGCTCGAGGCGGCCCTGGTAGTTCCATTTTCCCTTCAGTTTGCCTAGTTTTAGTCGCTGCTAATTTCATTTGCCAGCCCTCTCCTCAACTGTCCCCAGCCGCAGGCATGTTCCCGGCTGTTGGAGACGTTGAGGCACGCGTCCCCTCGGATGCGAGAGAGACCGAGGCCTCACCCGTCAATTCATCCAGCGCTCCCATGAGCGCCGCGGCCATACCCTTAGGAGGAGGAGAGAGGAGGAAAGGGATTAGGGGTAAATGATACCGCCAGACTATGATGTCGATGGTTGCGTCCACCTCGCTCTGATCTGGTGTGTGCAAGGCCCTGGTGTCTGCCCCCTGCTGGCCTGTGATCTTAAGCAGCTGTATTCCTTTACCCAAACCCTGGACTTCCGTTCTTAGTCTCCAGATGACGGGGTGCGGCATCTTTACCCGCACGCGTGGCCCAGACATGTCTCGCACTGTCAAAGCAGTGGAATGAGAAACCCTTTGGCTCCGGAGGGCACCAGGGGCATCTTAGGTTCTTCCTTAGGTTGCCGAACGTATGTGATTTCTGTTGATTGATGGCCGCAAGCAGACGGCATCGCGCGATAATCGATTACATCTTCCTTGGGTGTTCCCTCGGCGTTCCTTGCACATCTGGACGTGACCAGGGCCTCAAATTGGCTCGGACCCCTACTTAGTAAGTGGATGGGATACCAATACCGCTACTCCAACCAAGAACCTTCTCTGGGGTGCCCTGTGCCTATGATTTCGAGGCGAATCCAGCCGTGGCGACGAGGGAAGGGTCGCAGTACGATTATCTCTTCCTCCTTTGAGTCAGAGGTTCCTTCATGGCGAGCCTTTGACTGTATCCCCATGGCCCACCCAGTATCTCCCCCAGGGAGGGGCTATGAGCCAGGGCAGATGTCTTCCTGGCCGGTGCCCCAAGGGGTCTGCGAATACCGACTGGGTCTTAATCGAAAGGCTGGGCGCGATAGTGCTAGCAAAGGCAGTCACGTTGAGATGCAGAGCCACCGCAGTAGCATCAAAAGCATGGCTTCCAGGCCTATTTGATGGGGTCGGAGTAGATGGGGTCGGAGGATCGCGCCGCATCGCCGATGCATCGGCAATGCGGCTCGATGCGGAGCCCGATGTTCTCCACGCCCACGTCGCTGATGCATCGCCGATGTCGCTAGTGCATCGCCAATACATCGGCGACGCATTGGCGATGCGGCGCGATCCTTCGACCCCATGTAGTCGGACCCCGTCTAGGAGGTCTATATGGCGTGCGCTGGAAAGTATGGTCCGCTTCTTTGGCTTAGCGAGTCGGGCCGCTGGTTCTGGCCCGCCGCGCTTTGGCGCGAGACCCTGACCACGTCATTTCCAAGCGTCAACATGCCGAGCGTTCCCCAACCTCCAGTCCCACGAAGCGAAGCGACATGCTGACAGCTCGCCAGGCATGGCGTGACGCCAGAGCTGCCGCTGCGGCACGCTAAGCATAAGCTCTCGCCCGTATGCGTGATAATGTTGATGTTGCCAGTTTGTCGTATCAGCAGCAGCAGCAATTGTATATGTCACACCCTTGTGAGAGTGGTCGTTTTGCTTCAGTTCCCGAGTTCAGTGGACGAGAAAAGGCTCGCAGAGCTATTATATCGGCAGTCTACGGTTTTCAAGGTGGCGCTTCATGCTTTTCGCGCACAGTTGCATGTCCGAGTAATATGACAATCTTGCCCACTGCACGCGGAATCTGTTAAGAGTCGCAAGGATAGCAGAATCAGCGAGTTCGTGCGCGACCCGTCGAAGACCATCGACCATTACATGGAACAGTACAAGTCCCTGTGCGCCACTGAAGATTCCATTCGGCAGCAGGTCAGCGTGTGCAGACATGCGATTTCTAACGCACGCCAGTGTGCTACGCGGTGAGTGAATTCTCATCGTGGGTGTGCAATCATTCTTACACCGGGGGTCCAACATAATTGAACGGCATGCCCAGCTTCAGCCTCGCGGGCCTACGTTGAAATGATGTTGTTCGATTTTGTTTGTGTCGTTCCATGCCTTGGAACCGTCGCTCGAGTGATACTCAAAAACCTAGTTCTGGCAGTGTCCATGACATTGACGTTGTGTTGTGTACTTGTGGTATTGTTGTGGTGTGTGGTTTTGCGTGTGTGTTTGTGCGTGTACGAAATACGTTCCCGCAACTACAATACATTCAATACGTGTGTTTGTGCAAGTTCGCGTGCGTGTGATGCATGCTTGCGATGATTCAATCGGGAAGCGTCAAGCTGCCCAGATAGCAAGAGGTTGCTTCCATATTGAGCAATATGGAAAATCGCGGTAGGGTGACGTCGTGAACCATGCGTGTAACACACACACACACACACACACGCATGCATTTGTTGTTGCTAGCCTGCGCAAGGTCAGCACAGGGATTATCGGCAGCGCCGCTTTTGAATATTTGTCAGCACTTTGGTGTCACTGTTTTCTAAAGACGTCGCAGTACTTTCTCACTAAAGCAGGATGTTCGCCGTCGTGGACCCCAGCAGTGAGTTACTTCACAGCGCATGTGGAAGGTATGTTTCGTAAGCTGTGTGGTGCAGGCAATGGTGTGTAAGGTTCGTGGCATCGGCTATATAGTGCAAGCTATGTGTTTAAGCTATTTGGTATAAGCTATAGTGCGAGATCTCGTTGGTGTAAGCTGTGTGGTATGAGCTGTGTTGGGTGAGCTATGCGATGTAAGCTATGTCGTGTAAGCTATGTTGTGTGTGTGTCAAATGGCGTGAGACGTGGTGTGAGCTATGCGTTGCAAGCTGTGCCGTGCGAGCTGTGCTGCGTGAACCATGCCGGGCACTCCAGATTTCGTAATAAAGGGAGGGGGGGTCTCATTTCGGGGGGGGGTCTCTTCCAGGCCATCTTGGAGGGCCTGGGGTGGTCTGGGGACGATGTTTTTTGGAGGGTTCTCCCACGAGGGGGGGTCTGAAATGGCTTGTCTTGGAGGGTCCAGACCCCCTCCTCTTTTACTACGAAATCTGGAGTAAGCTATGTGGTGTCAGAGCACGGGGCGCCCACGCGGCGAAGGTTTCGGGACGCCGGCCCCGCGCCCGCGGCGCCCACGGGGCGCCTACAACAGCCCCCCTCTCGAAAGCAGACGCGAACTTTTTGTCCGTGGTGGGCGACGCGCGAAGCGCGGCCCACGGGGCCCGAGTGTCCTGCGCGTCTGCGGTCGAGGCGGTTCTGCGCGAACAGGGACATGCTCAGGTCCTGGGTCGGCGGGCGAAGAACGGTATAAGATAAACTTTTTTTCGCTGTCGGGGGCTCCTGTCCCAGGGCGGCTGGGAAGTTTCTACCCTTACGGTGGCACAGTAGGGGTATAAACTTTCCAGCCGCCCAGGGGCAGGTGTCCCCGACGGCGAAACAAATTATGTTATCCGGTTCTTCGCCCGTTAATTGGGGCGCCGCCACGTCGCGGGAAGAGCTTGCGCTTGATCCCGATGGGGGAACGTGCGGGCGGGCGCGCGGACCCCGGAGCCGCCCGCCCTGTCCCTGTTTTCCGTTGACCGCGTCCGCTCCTCGCCTCCTCCTCCTCCTCCTCCTCCCCCTCCTCCTCCTCCTCCTCCCCCTCCTCCCCCTCCTCCTCCTCCTCCTCCTCCTCCTCTTTATCCCTCCCTCCCTCCCGTCCTCCATCCTCCACCTCTTCCTCCTCCCCCCCCTCCCACCACCTCCCCCTCCAGTCCCTGTTCCTGTGCACGGTGGCACAATTCGCTCTAACGGCATCCCCGCTCAAGCCTCTTACAGTGGAGGCCCCTGCCAAGAAACACCCTGCTTGCCTCCAGGGTGCCTTGAGTTTCTTGGGTTTCGATGGAAGGCATGACATTCCCACGCCAAAAATTCATGGACGTCCTGGGGTCTCAGGCTCGTGTTTCTTGTGGAAGGTGTCTCGTGGTCGAGCCCCCATCTGTGTCGCCAGCGCAGTCACCCTCTGCCCAGCCCCTGGCGCAACACAAAGATGCACGAGCGGGGGCACGGGCGCCGGAAACCCACCCCAGAGCACGGGTCGGGGCCTAAGAGACGGGGGTCAGTGCAAACGGGGGTCAGCCAGAGCGCCAGATCCTGCAGGATCCTGCGAACGCCCCCTCTGGCTGACCCGGTTTGCGAAGACCTGCGTTGCAGTTGTTTTTCTTGCATTGCAGTTTTGGGTTGACCCGGGTCAGAGCGAATTGTGCCACCGTGCACAGGAACAGGGACTGGAGGGGGAGGTGGTGGGAGGGGGGGGAGGAGGAAGAGGTGGAGGATGGAGGACGGGAGGGAGGGAGGGATAAAGAGGGAGGAGGAGGAGGAGGAGGGAGGAGGAGGAGGAGGAGGGGAGGAGGGGGAGGAGGAGGAGGAGGAGGAGGAGGAGGAGGAGGAGGGGGAGGAGGAGAAGATCCCCGAACGGGGTTTCCCAGGAGCGGGCACGGCGGCGCCATGGCGCGCGGCGAAAGCCCGCGGGGGGAAGGCCGGCCGTGGGGCACGGGGGGGAGTCCGGGGCGCCCAGCACGAGCGGCGCCCCGGGCGCCCACGCGGCGCAAGTCCTCGGGAGAAGCCCACCCAGCGCTCGCGAGGCGCCCACGAGGAAGTCAGGCCTGTCCCTCCACAGGAGGAAGAATAAAAAAAAGACAAACAATGCTCTTGGGACGATTTGTTTAAACATTTTTTTTACATTATTTCTGATATCTCTGACTATTTCTGAGTACGGTTCGACTATTTTTGAGGGTTCGTCCAAAACCCCCCTGTTGGAGGACATGCCCGACCTGAGCCCACCAGGCGCCCACGAGCGGGCATGGGCGCGAACGTTGCGAAGCCCGGCGAAGCCCATCCAACCATGCAAGAAAGCCAGATCAGGATCCCTGCGCAACCCCCCCTCCTCCCCCTCCTCCTCCTCCTCCTCCCCCTCGTCCTCCCCCTCCTCCTCCTCCTCCTCCTCCTCCTCCTCCTCCGAAGTCGAGCGCAAGTTTTTCATGTTGGTCGACGCGTGAAAGGCGGCCCACGGGGCCAGGCTTGTGCGTCTGCGGTCGCCAATTGCGGCGCGAGCACTGGAGCTTTGCGGTCCCGGGGCGCCACCGCGTCGCGGGAAAAGCTTGCGCTTGATTTCGAGGGGGCACGTAGGGGCAAGCGCTGCTTGTGGATAGGAATCGCGGCAACTCCTGCCGTGCTGCAAAAGGCTTCGCGTTACGATCGCCCTGCTGCAGAAGTGCTCTCTGCCAGATGTGCTGCTTGCCAGGTTCTTGCATCCACTGTCAGGCTTCGCGACCTCATAGCTATGAAAGGTCCGATTGAAATGGTTTTGTCAACCTCGTTGCGACCCTCTCCTCTCGATTGCGTTTCGTGGCTGCCATTTTCTCCGATCTCCCCTGCGAGGTAGCAGCTGTGACGACGTACTGTGTATGACCCTTGGTGCTCGATGCATGCGTGCCTACCTTGGGTGCAGTAAGCAGCTGCGCGGGGCAACCTGGCGAAGACTTATAAAACATTGCCTTCAGCTACCGAATGAGATCCGCGGGCAAATGGTGAATGTTGAGTGTTCGGAGCTCAACGAGTTGCTGCGGCAGAAGATTGACAAGTGCAAGGCAGTATTGAATGTGCTAGTTGTGCGCTAAGTTCGTTTGGCCTCACCAGTGCTGACAAGCTTTGATTCGGATCGTCTCGCTTTGCTTAGTTCTAGAATGGCCTATACATGCTCTGGTAAGCTGAAACTGGCGCAGCACTGGCCATCGACGAATGTCTAGCTACACATACCTTACATCATGCCACCATCGCGTCACCTCACTCACTGGAGCTATACACATTGACTAGTTGGCGCAGGCTGGTTGGTATTGTTCCGAGCTGCAGGCACATCGAGAGATCTGAAGGGCGCTTTCCACATGGACCCATTGATGATCGCTGGTGGGTATCCAAATGGCTGCATCCTTCGGCGCTGGTCCCCAGGCGAAGGCAGCTTGGAGCCTCTCGGAGGTATCTGGGGGGGCTAAATATGGGGGTCACCTGACTGGTCATCTTGGGCAACATCGGAGCTGTATAGGCGCCTCTGGGGGATCTCTTGTGGACTTGTTGTTGTGGGCATCCTGGAGCCGATCTGGAGCCTTTTTGGGGAAAATCTTGTGTGATGGTGGTGGCGTCTTGGGGCCTCTGGAGACCATATTGTAGTGGCCTTCGGCCAGTGCCGCCGACCCGGGGCGCTCCGACTGATGTGATCCTTCTTCGCCCTCGTCCCTCCTCTCTTTTTCCCTCCCCTCCTCTCACTCAGCATTTATCCAGTGGCCGTCGGCCTATCCCGCCACCGTGCGCGGGTGGTGGGTCAGAGGCCTCATGGATGCTGGTTGGGATCTCGTGGTTGGCTGGGACTTCTGGGGGCCTCTTGGGGCTTCTTGGGGGCCTCTTGGGCCTCTTGGGGCTACTAGAGGGCCTCTTGGGGGTCTCTTGGGAGCCTCTTGGGGCTTCTTGGGGGCCTCTTCTGCGCCCCTTTGGGCCTCTTGGAGGCCTCCTCGGAGCCTCTTGGTGCGGGAGGGGTGGTACTCGAGTTCGGAACCCCCTCGGAGGCCACGATCCTTGTGAGGGGTGTCAAAAAACGCATCCGCCGGAAACTCGCACCCCCCCCACCCACCCCCACCCCCCCTTCCCCGGCAGAGCCACCCCGGCAACCCCCCCAGATGCTGAGGCTCAGCCTCGAGGCTGTAGCTGAGACTCCTTGAAACTCACACGCCGGATCGGCGGATTTGGGCGATCTAAGAGATTTGTTGGAGCCTTTGGGGGCTGTCGTAAAGACATATGGTAGCAGCTTCGAAGGGAAATCGGCAACCGGTAGAATACAGAGACAGCCGTAGGGTGTTTCAATCACGGGTTGCCTTCTCGCAGCGCCTCGGGGCCCTCTCGGCTGGTTCCTGGAGCCTTCCTGGACCGACGCCGTGGGCCTCAGACTATGCAAAACCGGCAGCCGCGTCTTCTCGTGGCAAGGTTTGTCTTGGTCCTCCTCACCTTCCCATAAAACGACGCGAAGATCGGGATAAAATCGGATCGGGATAACTCGAAATCTCTGAGAATCGGCGGGTTTGGAGGATGTGTTGGGCGCCGCGGCCGCTCCAGAGCGTTCCGGAACGCTCTGAGAGCGCTCCGGGACGCTTTGGAGCGACTTATCCCTATCCTAGCCCTGTTTTATTTGTCTTGGTCCTCCTCACCTTCCCAGCTCCTCCTTGTCCCGAGACCCTCGCGCTCTGTCTGGTGCTGCCTCCCGGTGCCCCGGAGGCGGAGCTGCTGGAGAGCGCGGCGAGGCTGAACCGGGAGCGGAACCGTGAGCTGGCGCAGAGCTTCGACAAGATCATGCAGGACTGCGCCGGCTGGGGGGCCCTGGAGGTGGAGAGGGAAGGGGAAAGGGGAGTGCCCTCCTCCTCCTCCTCCTCCTCCTCCTCCTCCTCCTCCTCCTCCTCCTCCTCTTCCTCATCCTCCATTCCTTGTCCTTATGAACAGTGTCTCCCTGCCGCACCCCGGGGCCGGTCGACAGGGCGGGCCGGGCCTTTCGCCTGAGACTCCCCTACCATTGATATCCCTGAAGTTTAAGAGTTGGCAACAGTTTCACGTATGCAGGGCGGGTGGTTTTAAACATGAGGCTCTCGCCTCAGCTCCGCGCGCATTCATTTTAAACATTGCAAGAGCTTCTCGGATTGAGGGCGGGTGGTTTTGAAAATGTGGTTCTCGCCCTAGCGCCGTGAACATTCGTTTTCAAGCGTTGCAAGAGTTTCATAGATCGAAGGCAGCTCGTTTTCAAAATGTGGCTCTCGCCTTAGCGCTGCGCACATTCGTTCGCAACAGTTGCAAGAGTGCCACATATTGAGGGCGGTTCATTTTCAAAATGTGGTTCTCGCGTTAGCGCCACGCACATCTCTTTTGAATAATTGCAATGGTTTCACGGATTCCCATTGTTCTGGGAGGATTCAAGTTTATGTGGGCGCAACCGTTACGTTGATTCGCGGTTTTGAAGTTTCAGGACTGGCGTTTTGGCACGCTTCAGGATTGTCAAGACGCAGTAGTCAGGTTGATCCGTGGCGTTACGGTTCCGAGAATATTGTGTTGGCATGATCCAAGGTTTCCAAATTGTTTCCTTCCAACAAGACAGTTCCATTATTGGCAAGGAACCCTTGTATGTGGCATATGAAGAGGGAGCTTGGAGGGAGGATTTATTCCAACATCGTTGATGACTCTTGGGTTTACACTGGTCCTCCTCCTCCTCCTCCTCCTCCTCCCCCTCCTCCTCCTCCTCCTCCTTCTCCCTTGGGTTCCTCTGCCCCCTCCTCCTCCCCCTCTGGGTGGCCTCCGCTTCCTTGATTGTTTCGTCTTCACGGGAGCCGCGGTTCGCTTGACAAGATGGGGGCGTCATGCCGACTCAGCTCGCCACTGCTGACAGCACGTGGTTTGGCATGCGAACGGTCTGTGCTGCGATCTCATCCGCAAATGCAGCCTTGAGAATTTCGACGGCTTGCTCGACGTAGTCACTTTTGGGTGCCTAGAGATACTAGGTTGTCCTTTGCATTGGTGATCGGCTTCGCTGGGACGGGGGGCTGACAATATTGTTTGACCCGGACTCATGCGGCCAAAGTGTGGGACTCGATTTCGCACAGCTGGCGGATCATATCCAATTGGTCATTCGATATTGCGCCGAGTTGTTCTACGATCGTGTCTGCGAACTTTCTGCGGTCCCGCCTCGGGTCGGGTCTGTACTGCCATCGCTTTTCACAACAAAAAGCATATGTATCGCCCAAGGATTTATTACACTGTTTGTTGACCCATGCCTTGACACACATTCGATTCATGGAAGGCATCGTTGCTGAGTGATGGGGCTGGGCTTTACTTGCTCGCTTGAGCCTCACTTGCTTGAGCCAGTGATTTGCCACTGTTTCTCGTCCACGCCTGATCGGGCATCCACCGCCCCGAGCTACAGTGTAAATAACAGTCGGGCGCACATGACATTTCCTACAGCTGTGTGCTCATAGCATATGTGCGAACGTTTCGGCACTTGAAGCACTGCCCGACGGGCGAACATAGTGAACAGGTTGAGTGCACGTAACGCAGTATGGCCGAAACATCAAAGCGAGCGGGCCGAATAATCGCTCATTGTCCCTGGGTGCGTGGCTGAAGTGGGGCTTTGCGGTGCGGATTGTCGTTGCGTTGCTGCGTGGCGTGCCTGGGTTGGCGTCGTCGTCCTCGCCCGCGACCCGCTTGCGACCCGCCTGGGGCCCACCCAGCGACCACCTCGCGACCCACCCCGCGACCCATCCTGCGACTCTCCCGCGACCCACCCACGTTGCGTTGACGAAGAAATGGGCGCTTGCGGCGGGCTCATTGCTTTACGTGTTCTTGAAGTCGGCGCTTGCGGCGGGCTCCTTCTGAGCTTCGCAGACTGTCGATGACCCGCAGCCTCCCCAACTCTCATTCGTGGTTCCGGGCCGTATGTTCGCGCAGCCGAGTTTAATGTCCAGCGGATTGGGCGATCCACCACGTGCGTTCTCACCAGTTGTTCTGTTAAGTTGCTTGCGCTTGGCGGGGGAACTACAAGGCACGTAACATGTGCAGCCTCACTTGTACACACACAACAGGCTATGGAGCAAAGACAGCTGCGTAGGTCCGCTGTTTCGCAGAGGGAGGCGAGGCAGTTGTCAGGGTTGCAGCTTTTCGCGAATAGTTGTTGTATGCCCTGCCTCCCAGGGCAAACACGAAGCATGGCATGATGAGAGGAGGGAGTGGATATCAGAAGTGTGTGAAGGGGATACTATTCGCGGTCTCTCAACGCGTCTCGTCAACCATATTTGACTATCGTCCTCGTCCACTGCTCGGCCTGCCGTCTATCTGACCCCTTGTCCTGCATCTTGTCCCCAGGCCCCCCTGCCCTCCAGCCCGCCTCCTGCCCACTTCTCCCCTGCCCCGTGCCTGACAGTAAGTCGAAAACAGCGGCTCCAAAGCAAGTGAAGAACCCACCTGCTCAGGCGTGTTTCTCGCGACCGCCGCTGCCGCCGCCTGCGCCTCCGCCTCCCGAAGCGCAAAGCAGACCCTCCCCAAACGTGGAGTCCATGGGTGGGCGGGCTAAATCTCTCTCTCTCTCTCTCTCTCTCGCTCTCTCCCTATATATACATATATAGGTATAGATATATACATATGTATGTATGTATGCATGTGTATATATATATATATATATATATATATATATATATATATATATGTCTGTATGCTGGTCCCCTGTATGCGTATACCCGTCCCCCCCCTTTGGCCAGGACACGCCGCCCCAACACGTCCGTAGCCTGTTTGGGCTCAAAGGTCCAAGCATTTCTTCGGGGTCACGGCCACGGGCCGTCTCGTGGCCGCGAGGCCTGCTCTGAGGGCCGCCATCCGCCCTCCTCGCGCTCCTGGAGGCAGCACTGGGAGGCGAGGGTCGCTGGCCTGACTTGTGGCAGGCGCGGGGCTGGATGGCCCAGGCGGCTGTCGAGGACCTCGACGGTGGAGACGAGGACCTCTGGGAGGCGCCGGAGGCCGTCGTGCCCGCGCCCGTGGAGGACGGACCCGTGCCGATCGTCCCACTGGCAGTGGCCCAGGGCAGATGCTACTGCAGCACGGGCTACACTGCGGGCGGCCTCGAGCAGTGCCGGTTCGCGTGGCGGGCGCTGCGTGTCTCCAGCGCAGAGCCGCCGTTGCGCTTCGTGAAGGCCGAGTTCCTCTTCAGCGACGACGGCTACTGGGACTGGTGGGCCAGCCACCCTGGCCAGCCGAGCGCGATGACGGTGCGCCCGCTCATCCACGTGTGCTCGGAGAACCCGTGCTCAGTCTTGGAGGGGCCGGGGACGTGCACCGAGCTGATCCACGTGTCGGACGGGGCGGAGCTCGGCCTCGGGGACCTGCGGGCGCTGTTCGTCGAGTGCCAGGAGACGAACCCCGAGGCGGCTTGGCCAGCAGCAAGCCTCGGGCCGCTGGTCGCCGCCGCCGCCCCCGCGAGGCCCGCTGCGGTGGCCAAAGCGGCGGGGCGCCCACCAGCCGCAGCAGGTCCTCCCAGGGCCCCGCCTGGCGCTGCCCCCTTCGACGACTTCCTGAGCGTGAGGGGCTCGTCGCGCGGGCCTGGCTCAGAGCTGGCCGCAGGCGAGGAGGCGGCTGCCGCGGGCGGCCTGGGAGGCAAGCTCGAGGGTGCTCGTGTGCGCTTCGAGGAGGGGAAGCGGGCTGCTGGCGACGTCAACCTGGACGGCTTCCCCCTCGGCGCAGAGGCGGCTGGCGAGGGGCCTGTGAAGAAGCGGTCGCTCGGAGACCTGCTGGTCGAGCGCGCCGCGAAGCTCAAGAGGGCCGCCTCGGACGCGGCCCCCCGAGGGTCAGGAGACCCCGTGCCCGATCGGGCGCTGCCAGGAGCTGGTCCGAGCGGCGGCATGGCGGAGCTGGCGCAGGCGCTCGTGATGGCCATCCGCGAGGGCAAGGAGGGCCCCCCTGGCGACGGCGGCGGGGACGGCCTCGGCTCCTCGGACCCCGCGGCGGTGCCGCGCGACCTGGCCACGAAGAGGGCTTTCTGTCGTCGGATGGCCGCCGCCTCCCCAGGCCGCCTCGCGGAGCTGAGCCTGCAGCAGATGGCGGACTTCCTGGGCTCGCAGGAGGGGGAGGCAGCCGTCGACGCGACGGGCCCGATCGCGCTGCGGTACCTCCTCACGATCTACCTGCCGCAGCATCCGGTGAAGGAGATCGGGGTGCAGACGTACCGCGAGCTCCGCACCCTCGCGGAGGCGGTGGACCTGCTGATGCAGGGGAAGGCGGCCCACGCCTGCGACCTGATCGTCCAGCGCCTGAAGGCGCTGCAGGTGGCAACGACGGATGGCTCGTGGGCGGCGGCGAAGTGGTTGGAGCTGATCCCGCCGCGCGACGAGCCCACGGCCATCCGCAGCGAGGAGGAGGGGCTCATCCACAGCATCCAGCTCGGGGAGATGAAGCTGGACGAGCTCTCCGCACGGCTGGCCTCCGCCAAGACGCCGGGATAGGGCGGGGGCCCGACGGGGGCGCGCCCGCCGCTGGCGCCTCCGTCTGTTGGCCAGGCAGGGGGGGCACCCCCTGCGACAGCGCAGGCGAAGGGACCTGGGGGGCAGGCCCCCCGCCAGCCGCGGGCTCGGCCGCCCCACAGGAAGGCTTCCGCGGCGGCTCCACCAGCCCCCCTGGCGGCGGCCGCGGGCGGGCCTCCCCCGCAGGCCGAGGGGTCGGCAGCCCCGCCGCCGTGGAAGATGTCCTTCGCAGAGATGCGGAAGAAGTTTCCGAAGCAGCCGGGGGGGACGAACACCCAGCGCCGCCTGCGAGCCTTCAAAGCTCGTGCGGCGGCGCGCCCTCGTCGGACCTGAGCGGCGGCAGCCTGCCGCCTGCCTTGCGCTATGGTGGAGCCTCCTCAGGGAGGGTGGCCGATGCCTCCATCAAAGGCGCGAGCCCTGCGAAGGGCGCTGGTGGGGGAGTCCGCGGCGTGGGCCAAACTCGGTTTACCGAGGGCGGAGATCGTGCCTCCCTAGGCGGGGGGGTGAGGGCGTCGCGGAGCCCCCGCTGGCCACCGCGCTGCAGTGCTGGTCCGACGAGCTCTCCTTCGGCTTCGGCAAGAGCATCGTCGCGGTCGACCTGGCGGCGCGGCTGGTGGCAGCAGTGCGACGCCACCCAGGCAGCCTTGGCCACTTCGCTCGGTCGTTCAGCATGCGTGCGGACACATTTTGTGGGAGCGGAGGGTCCTCGAACAGGAGGGTTCGGGACGCCCTGCCGCTTCCCCTTCCGTCGACCGAGGAGGTGGACCGCTGGCTGGCCCACAGTGCCTTGCCCAAGGCACGCAGGTGCCGCCGCCGCGCCGTGGCGCGGGAGGTCAGCGAGCAGGCGTGGCTGTACCTCAGCGTGGTGGCGCTCAACTACGCGTTCTGCGGCCGCGCGCAGGAAGGCTGGCGCCACAGGCCGACCCTGTCGAAGGCGCAGACGCAGGTCTACGTGCACCTGAAGAGTCGAGCGGCGGCCCTGGCGGAGGACCCGCTGGCCATGGTCGTGGTCCCCGCGATCGACGAGCTGGCGGGCGGCTGCGGGTCAGCGTACGAGGGCGAGACGGGCGTGAAGGCCCTCCCCTGCCGGCTCTGCGAGCTGGCCCCTGGGCTGCCCGCGCGGGAGTGCGCTGCCACGCTCGACGCGATCGACTTCGTTGACGACGAGGTCGGCGCCTGGCTGCGCCGCCCCGAGCTGGCGCTCCTCGACCAATCCGACTGGCCCGACCCGCTGCCGCGGGCCCGCGTGAACGTGGAGACGGATGCGGACTGGGAGGAGCTGGCGCTGCACCTCGTGTCGCTCGGCATCTTCACCACGCTCGCGGAGAGCGAGCTGGTCCGCGTGAGGGGCGAGCCCGTGCTGAACGGCCTGTTCGCGGTGGAGAAGAAGGGCACTCCAGCGCCTGGCGCCACGCGGGTCACCAGGCTCATCCTCAACATGGTGCCAGGCAACTCGCTCCTGAAGGCCCACGTGGGCGAGGCGGCGCTGCTCGCGGCCTCGACGTCCTGGACGTCGGTCGTGATCCCCGAGGGGAAGCTGCTGCTGTGGTCGGGCGACGACCAGAAGGGGGCCTTCTTCGTGTGGCGGGCCCCGCCCGCGTGGCACCCCTACATGGCCGTGGGGCGGCCGCTCGCGGGCAAGCTGTTTGGTCGCTCGGAGCCCGTCGTCTACGTGACCTCGGCTGTCATCGCCATGGGCTGGTCGCTCGCGGTGCCCGTTTTCCAGCACATCCACCGACGACTGTGCCGCCTGGCGCCGCCCCTCGGGGCAGGGCTTCCCTCAGACGGGGAGTGGCGCAAGGATTGCGCGCGGCCCCTGGTCGAGGCAGGCAGCGGCCAGGACGCTGGCTGGTGGCAGGTTTACATCGACGACTTCGATGCGCCGGAGATCGTCGAGGAGGTTCTGGCCCGCAAGCTCGCGGGGACCCCGAGCGACCTCCAACTGCAGGTCCGCGCCAGCTACGAGAGGGCAAGCGTCTCCTTCTCGGCCGAGAAGGCGCACTGCAGGCAGCTGAGGGTCGAGCGCATGGGCGCGGACGTCGACGGCGTCAGCGGGCGCCTCGCGGTCCCCTCTGCCAAGGCGCTGGCCGCTGCGGGCCTCTGCTTGGCCGCGGTGCAGCGGCGCCTGGTCCCGTGGCGCGCGGCCATGGCGGCCCTCGGCAAGCTCGCGAGGGCCTTCGAGTTCAGGCGGCCGCTTTTCGGGATCCTGAACTCCGTCTGGACGCTGGCTGCGTCCTCAGCGCAGGGGGCTTACCTGGACGCAGAGATGGTGGAAGAGCTCCTCATGGGCGTGATGGTCCTGCCGCTGGCCGCCTCCTCGCTGCGGCCGCGCATCGACGGCATGGTCACGTCCTCGGACGCGTCGGAGATGGGCGGCGGCGCGTGCACGTCAGCTGGCCTGCGCGAGGACGTCGCCGCCGCCTTGCAGGTGCCGAGGACGGTCCCCGACCAGCTGGGGATAGGGGCCAGGCTCCTTAACATGCCCGAGGACCCCGCCCGACCGTGGGCGGCAGCCAACCCACGCGTCCCCGCCAGGGCAGTCCGCAGGGTGCTGTCGGTGCTGCTCATCGGCCTGTTCGACGGCATCGGAGGCCTCGCCGTCGCCTTCTCGAGGCTGCCCGTCCGCATCGCGGCCTTCGTCGCGGCCGAGACGGACGCCAAGGCGAGGCGAGTTGTCAGACTCCGCTGGCCAGGTGTCATCGACTGGGGCGACGTCACCCGTGTGGGCAGCGAGGCGGTGCGGGATTTGTTCGAGGCGTTCGGCGGCCTCGTCGACCTGGTGGTGGTCGCAGCGGGCAGCCCCTGCCAGGACCTGTCACGCCTCAACGTCGGCGGGCGCGGCCTCAGCGGCAGGAAGTCCTCGCTGTTCCACGAGGTGCCGCGCATCCTGGCTCTCCTCGCCGCCGTCTTCAAGGACAGGCTCGTTTGGTTCGTGGAGAACGTGGCCAGCATGTCCGACGCCAACGTGGAGCTGATCTCGGAGGCGCTGCAGGTGAGGCCGACGCTGGTGTGCTCGTCGGTGTTCGTGCCGTGTCGCAGGCCGCGCCTGTTCTGGACGAGCTGGGGCGTCACCGCATCGGCGCCTCTTCGGCTGACCGACCGCGGGGTCTACGACGAGCTGGTGGGCCCTGGCGTCCCGCTCATGGACCTCGCGTGGGAGGACGAGGGCTGCTCTTGGCCAGGGAGACCAAGGTGCTTCCCCACGCTCGTCTGCTGCAGGCCTCAGCCCTCCTTCCCCTCTGCCCCGCGTGGCTTCGCGGCTGCATCGGAGACGGCTCGTCAAAGGTGGGCTGCGGACGGGCACAGGTATCATGTGGCTTTGTACGAGGACAAAAACATGATCTGCACCTCCTCGTTCCCTTTCCTGCGCCTCCCCACCAGCGAGGAGAGGGAGCGGCTCCTTGGCTTTGATGTGGGGTACACCTCCCTAGCCACCAAGGGCTCGAACCCTCAGGACGCCTCCGACGCCAGGGCCTTCCTCCTCGGCAACAGCTTCAGTATTCACGTCGTGGCATGGTTGTGCCAGCAGCTCCTGCACCGCCGCGGCGCGCTGAACAGGGAGCTGTCGATAGAGGAGGTGTCCCCCGTCCGCGCGTGCCGGGCGACGTGGGACCAGGCGGGGGCCTTCGTCACGGAGCCAGGAGAGCCGGACACCGCGGAGGCGAGGCAGCTGGTCCCGCACTACCTCAGCCGCGCGGAGAAGGGCGGGTCGGACGTCAGGCTGGACTACGGCGTCCCCTACCGCCCGCGAGGTTGGCCGAGGACAAGCCTGGACCCGTTCGTGTGGGAGTGGCGCGTGGTGGTCAGCACGGCGTGGCCTGGCTGGAGCTCCACCCACATAAACGTGAGAGAGTTGCAGGCGGCCACGGCGGCGATCAGGTGGCGCGCCCGCAAGGTCGCGCAGCACGGGAGCAGGTTCTTGCACCTCGTCGACAGCCAGGTGGTCGCGGCCATCGTGACGAAGGGCCGCAGCAGCAGCAGGAATCTACAGCCCATCCTGAAGCGCTGGATGGCCGTCGTCGTGGCGGCCGACATGCACCCACTGATCGGCTACGTGGTCTCAGAGGACAACCCTGCGGACGAGCCGTCGAGGAGGGTGCTGTGGCGTGGCTCGAAGCCCAGGAGGCGAGGGCGATCCGTGCCGCGCGCGCGGCCGCTCACCGCAGGCCCGCTCCCGTGAGACGCCGCGGGACGCGCTGCCAGACTCTCTCTTCCCTGAGGGTGTCAGCGGAGACGCGGCGGCGCTACGGGCGGGCCCTGCGCGCGCTGCTGGCCCACTTTGGGGCCGAGCAGGCGGGGGCGGACGCCTTGCGCGGCGACCCCGAGGACGCAGACGCCCTCGTCGCGGAGTACCTCGAAGGCCTGTGGGCCTCTGGTGCGGGCATCGCGGCCGCCAACAACACGCTGGCGGGGGTGTGCTTCGCGGCGCCTCGTCTGAGGCGACACCTCGACCTGAGCTGGACTCTCCTCAAGGCATGGAGGCATCATGAGCCAGCGTCCAGGGTGCTGCCGCTCACGACCGAGGCCGTCGCGGCCATGGCAGGGTTCGCGTGCGCTGCAGGTGCTTTCGACGTGGCCGCCCCCCTTCTCGTCGGCTTCGAGGGCATGCTCCGAGGCGCAGAGGTGTTTGCCCTGACGGTGGGCGACATCGTCGACCGCGGCGAGCTGTTCATAGTCCGCATCAGCTCGTCCAAGACCACGGCGGGCAAGGACTGCGCGGAGGCAGTCGTCGTCCGCAGCAAGATTGCCGTGGCGCTCCTGCGGATTGCGGTCCGCGGCCTTGGTGCAGGCGCGCGGCTCTCATGGAGGGCGCCGTCCCAGCTGCGTGGTGCCCTCCGCGCCTCGGCGAGGGGCCTGGGCCTGGCGGGGCCCATCACGTGGCACAGCCTGCGACGTGGCGGGGCGAGCGCCTTCTTCGTCAGGAGCGGCTCCATGGAGGCGACCCTCGTGGCGGGTCGGTGGGCCTCCTCCGCCACCGCACGCCTGTACATCGAGGGCGCGGTGGCCGACTCAGTGCGCGCCCAGCCCGGGAGCGAGGCAGCCCGCGCCGTTGCGCGGGGACTGCGGCTCCTGCAGCTGGCCACTGTAAAAGGCCACTCTCGCGCCCAACAGTGCTTGCCGAAAATCGGGCGTTTGTCTTCGCTTCGGCGAAGGCAACCGCCCTCCCGCCGTGGGGCCGCGTGGCCCTCTCTCTCCCTTTGGGTCTGGTTTCCGGGGTCCCCTGGGTCCGCCCGTTGTGTGGGGCGTTCTCTGTTTGGGGTCCACGCCCGTCTCGCCTTCTCCGTGCATCGTTTCACCTCCTCCCGTCGCCTCCCCCCGTCACCTCCTCCTCGTGTGGAGTGTAAGGGCTGGAGAAGGGCGTGGAGTAGGGGGGTGTGCTGGGGGGGCCAAACCAAGGGGCTGCGGAGGGATGTCTGGCACGCGTGGGGCCGCCCTGTGCGGTGCCTGCCCCACGTCAGGCCTGTGGCCTGGCGCGGGTTGCGTGTCCAGACCCCCCCTCGCAGTCTTGTGGCTTGCCCCCCCGCACACCCCCGAATTAAGGACCGGCATAAATATGCCATTTGCAGGGGGGTTGGGAGTTAAACACGGACGGCCTACGTAGCCTTAAGGCCAGTAGGTGGGGGAGTTAGATAGCGTAGGCCCCCTCCCCAGATTGCTGTATGCGAACGGTGGAGGACCACCTCGCACGCCTTAGGTGGCAAGCGCGCGGTGCGGTAGGCGCCGCGTGCTTGCCGCCTAGGTAATGCGTGGCGTAGGGTACCCTTGCATCCCGGCGCGTACAGTAGCTGGGGGGGTTGAGGGGGGCTGGCCTACTCTGACCATTGGCGTGTCCGCGCGCAAAAAGGTGGGGCAGGGTATGTCTGTATACTGGTCCCCTGTATGCGTATACCCGTCCCCCCCCCTTTGGCCAGGACGCGCCGCCCCAACACGTCCGTAGCCTGTTTGGGCTCCCACCCGCGGTCCACCCCTTCCGTGTTGAGGCACGCTTTCTGCTGGTGCCGTAGCCCAGAAGATAGCGTAGGCCCCCTCCCCAGATTGCTGTATGCGAGCGGTGGAGGACCACCTCGCACGCCTTAGGTGGCAAGCGCGCGGTGCGGTAGGCGCCGCGTGCTTGCCGCCTAGGTAATGCGTGGCGTAGGGTACCCTTGCATCCCGGCGCGTAGAGTAGCTGGGGGGTTTGAGGGGGGCTGGCCTACTCTGACCATTGGCGTGTCCGCACGCAAAAAGGTGGGGCAGGGTATGTATATATATATATATATATATATATATGTTTATATTTATAATGTGTGTATATATATATATATATATATATATATATATATATCGGAGTAGGCGGAGGGGCCGGGCCGGTGCCACCCTCCCTCATGGGCGCCCCCCGGGACCTTTGGGGGGTCACAGACCCCCCGGGACTCCCAGGCCGCTTCCAAATTGCCCACGACAGGCCACGCGGGCCGTACAGATGGTCAAGAAAGCCGTAAGAGGCCCCGAAGACGCTCAAGATGGCCCCAAGACAGCCCAAGAAGTTTCGCCCCGAGAGGCTTCAAAGAAGCGCCCCAAGAGAACCCCGAGAGGCCTAAATCGATGATTTTCCATTGTGTTTTTCGATGTTTTGGTTGTGATCGCCTTTTCACCTCTCCGACGCTCCAATAAGGCCCAACAGGTCCTGAAGAGCGCCCCAAGACTGCCAGGGAGGCCCCCCAGACGGCCAGGCTGGGGGGTCCGGGCCGGTGCCGTTGGGGGGGTTAGGAGTCCTGGGACTGCCCGGGCCCGCTCCCAAACACGCAACGACACGCCAAGAGGGCCCTAAAGATTGCCAAGACAGCCCTGAGAGGCCCTGGACACGCCAAAGATGGCCTCAGGACGGGCGACGAAGCCGCCAAAACGCCCCAAGAGCGCCTCCAGAGGCCCCCCCAAAGGGCCCCAGAAGCCGAAAATCATTTTGCGCTCTCGCATGGTCCGCCTCCCTACGGTCCCGGACGGTGTCAGAGGCGCTTCAGATCGCTCAAAGACGGCCGAAGAGGCTCCCAAGAAAGCCGGCCCAGGAGGCTCCCCAGATAATTCACGAGGGCCTCGAGAGCGCCCCAAGAGAGCCCCAAGAGCGACCCAAGAGGGCCCGAAGAGCGCGACATTTCAAGGTCTCCAGCCTGAGAGGCTCCTAGGACTCCCCTGGAGGCCATCCAGAGGCTCCCAAGAAGCCTTGTGAGGCTCCCAAGAGGCCCCCCGGAAGCCCAATAGGCCCCCAAGGGGCCCCCATGCAGGGAAGCCCCCTGCGGGCTAAGAGACCTCGGTAAATCGCATTTTGTCAGACAGCTTTCTGGGAGCATGATTCCCTGGGCTTCCGCCCACCGCCCTAACCATGTTTCGAATAGGCTCGTCGACAAGGCCAAAAGGGACCCCTTCGGTAAGCCCCCAGAGGCCGCCCTCTTGAGAGAGCCGAACAAATCATGCTCCCGGAAATCTTCCCGGGAACATGATTCTCGGGTTGCCGCCCTCTCCCCAAGCCATGCTCCCCAAACGCCTGCCAGGAAAACGACCACCGAGAGTCCCGAGCAGCGCTACCTGCCGCCACGCTTGGAAACGCGTCAGGCCCCGAAGCCTCCGGAGGCGCCCAACGACGCCCCAACAAATCATGTTCCCAGGCAGTCTTACGGCCAGTGCCGCCGACGTTAAAGGAGGACGGTCCAGGACACCCGGAAATCTTCCAAGCAGGCTTCCAAGAGGGCGCCGAGACGGCCCAGGGCCGCCCTAAGACGGCCCAAGAAAGCCCCAACACAGGCGACGAAAAGGGCCGCAAGAGGCCTGCAAGAGGCCCCGAAACGCGAAGACATTCGCTCGAGCACGCCCAAGGTGGCCTCCGAACGGCCCACAGGGCTCCCACCGCGGCCCACGGGGACGCCAGAAGCACTGCGTGTCCTCAGGTTTTTGACGGATTTCGGCCCTTCTGCAGGTTCAGGGCCCCGACTGTCCCGGAGACGCACGAGGTCGCCCCAATCAGGCCTCCTCCGCGAGGGCGCCGAGGCGGCCCTGGGGCGCCCTGCCGCGGGCACGAGGCGGGGCCGGGGCGCTCGCACCTGGGGGTCCGGGGGCCCTGCCGTGGCGCTGGGAGCCCTGCAAAGTCGCCCGAAGACGGCCCTAGGATTGCCAGAAGTAGCGTGAAGTCGGGCCTGTCCCGCTACAGGGGGAGTGTCGACGAGAAATAAAACATACCCCCAAAATAGTCAGGCAATGATGCAACAATAGTCTGGGGACTCTTTTTGGACTCTTTGTTTGGCCTTTCTGGAGCATTTTGGGGATGTTCTTTATTTTTCGTCGAAAATCCCACTGTAGGGGGACACGCCCGACATAAAAGTAGCGTTTCCAGACCAATGACCGCCCGATATCACCCCAGAATTAGTGCCTGACTGTCCAAGAGGCCTCCAGGACGCCCCAAAAGGCCTCCAAGGTGGCTCCCAGGGAGCCCCAGGAGGCACAACTCATTCGTTTCCCGCTGGTTTTTGAGCGATTTTCGAGTTCTCGCTTTTAAATTTCCTGACGCTCCACGAAGGCCCCAAGAGGCTTCAATTTCCGCTCCAAGACATCCCCAGAGGCCTCGAAGACGGCCACAAGACTTCACGAGGGCCCCAAGACGGCGCCAGAGGCGCCCAAGGCGGCCCGAGAGGGCCCCAAGATGGCCCAAAGATGGAGCCAAGAGGGTTATCACGAACGAGAATCCGAGCATTCCACCCCGAGAAGCTCTCAGGAGGCCCCGAGAAGCCCCTAACAGGCTCCAAGAGGCCCCAAGAAGCCCCCCAGGGGGCAGAAGAGTATCCAAGAGGCCTCCCACGATTGTTTTTTGTTTTTTTTTTCTATTGAAACGTTTTCAGCCTTTTGGCGTCCTGACGCTCCGAGACGGCCCAAAAGGCCTCCAAGACCAATCCATGATAGCCCAAGAGGCCGTCAACAGGGTCCAAGACAACCCGAGAGGGCACCAAGACGGCCCCAAGGAGGTCCCAAGAGGGGTAAGGCGAACCGGATCCGAGCCTTCCACCCCGAGAGGCTCTCAGGAAGCCCCAGAGGCCCCCAAATGGGACCCAAGAGGCCCTCAAGAAGCTCCCCAGAAGGCCGAAGAGGTTCCAAGAAGCCTCCCAAGAAGGCCCGAAGAGTCACAACTCATTGTTTTCCCATCGGCTTCTGATGGATTTTAGAGTCCCCAGCCTTTTGGCATCCCGACGCTCCAAGACGGCCCAAGTGGCCCCAAAGACCGCTCCAAGATAGCCGAAGAGGCCTCTAAGAGGGCCCCAAGACGGCCCACGAGGGCCCCAAGACGGTGCCTGAGGCGCCCAAGACGGCCCGAGAGGGCCTCAAGAGGGCCCCAAGTGGGCCCCAAGAAGGGAAACGCGAACCCAACAGCAGAGCCTTCCGCCCTAAGAGGCCCACAGGAGGCCCCAAGAGTCCCCAAGTGGTCCGACGAGGCCCCCCAAAGCCCCCCACAAGGCCCCAGGAGACGTACACGGGGCCCCTAGATAGCCGAACAGCGTTCTCGATGTATCAAAATTACTTCAAGGAGGCCCTGGGAGGCTTCCAGATTGCCCCAATGTGGCCTCAAACCGGGCCTCCACGCAGCCAAGACGGCCAATTGATAGCTTCAGATTGCAGAACATCACTTTCCGACTGCCCGGAGAACCCTGACAATGCCCCCAAGAGACCCCAAGAAGGCCCAAGACGCCCCCCCGAGAAGCACCCAAGAGGTGCCTCCAACAGCCAATTGAGGAAGCACGGAGAACCCCCCAGAAGCCCTTCAGATGCCCCCACGAAGACCCAAGAGGTTCCCAAGAGGCCCACAGGAGGCACGACTATGTCACGCGCCTGTGCTTGATTGCGGTGTCCAAGATCTTCCAGCGCGCCCCCGGCCTGGGCCAGAGCCTGAGCGCGCGCGAAGCGCGCGCGATGGTTCTAGTGTATGTGTGAATATATGTATGTAATGTTTGTATGTCTGTCTGTCTGTCTGCCTGCCGTCCTGCCTGCCTGCCTGCCTGCCTGTCTGTCTGTCTGTCTGTCTGTCTGTCTGTATGTATGTCTGTATGTCTGTCTGTCTGTCTGTCTGTCTGTCTGTCTGTATGTATGTATGTATGTATGTATGTATGTATGTATGTATGTATGTATGTACTTACGTACGTACGTACGTACGTACGTACGTACGTACGTACGTAGGTAGGTAGGTAGGTAGGTAGGTAGGTAGGTAGGTGTATATATAGTTGTATGTCAATACTGCATCTTGGAGTTTCGGGCTCCGTTTCTCGGACGCCCGAGGCGCAGAGAATATGGACAGCAATCCGGCCCCTAGAGGCTGGGTGTTTGGGCGTATCCACCGCGCCCCGGCTTTCGGGCG